AATTTGCCATGGGAGACCCTACCAGGAACACAAGGTTCCAGACAACACAGCCCCCAGGTTCATCAGGGCACACAAACCTCTCTACCACGGTAAGGTGCTGGTTCTTCAGTGGATAGGTGGTTAATCATGATTTCCTGCAAACATAAAATCAATACTTTGATAATTTATTAATTATATGATTCCTTAGTTTTTACTTGACGTCACCACACTTTTTATACCTGCAGGGGACGCTTTCCATAAAAGGATTGGCAAGATAGATGGGTGACTTGGTCCATGTGGCTTTCTGTCGTCCATCTTGGTTTAGAGACATGTATCATGTACTTACACTGACTTGGCACTGAGTGGCAGTGTATGGGATGATGCAATAGGGTCCTATGTAGTGGCTGATGGTGCAACTATAAAAAACAAACAATGCATATACAAGAAAACACCTTTTGAATAGCTGTCCACTGTAGTGACCTCTATGCATGAAAGGGCTTCCCTAACCCTATCCGCTTAAATTGTATTCAGCACACACATGATGATGAAGCAACAGTCAATGCATCTGTTTGATCAAACTTCAGGTATGATGAGGTCAAGAGAGGAATGGACCCCGGCTTCCCCCGACTGATCCAAAAAGACTGGCCTGGAATTCCTAAAAGGGTTGACGCTGCCTTTAAGTTAGAAGGTAAACAAAAAGGAAACATGGGCAAGGTTTATGGTCATGAACTTTGTATAATGTGGACCTGATTAGCAAATAGAACATGGCTAAAATAGAACTTGTAATTTCTTGTTTACACCGTGTCTAGGTGGTGGTTCACCGCACTGGACACATTTTTTTACTGGAAGTATCATTCACCCCAGTTACAGAACAATACATTTCTCAACTAGAAAATCCTGTGTTCACCTCTGTTTTCTTTCCTTATTACTCTTCCTCCATCCTTTTTATTCCATTACATTGCAATATAAATACTGTTATATTTATATTTTACTATATTTTTTATTATTTTTTATATTTTTTCTAGCTCTCTATCTGTGTTTTAATTGTTGTTTTACTTTGATGTATGCACCACGACAACTAGTCATATTCCTCGTAAGTGTAAACCTACTTGGTAAAATGATTCTGATTAACTTTGTTAACATTTAATTGAATTTATTTTGAAACATGAGAAAATAACACACTTCTTTTACAATGTTTTGTTCACAGGTAACATCTTCCTCTTCAGTGGGGAAAAATCCTACCAGTACGACTTCAGACAGACACGAGTGATGAATACATTTTCAGCAAATTCTTGGCTAGGGTGTTAATACATTGGTAAATTACTAATAATTCATACTTTATATTGTTGAGAATGCTTATTAAAGTTATTAAACCGAGAAATAAGTATCTTGTATCATGTATTTGACTGAATTGTTTTTTTTTGTGGTGCATGTCTTTACCTGTGACATTTATATATATTATGTGCAAGGATGTACAGTTCTGATAACTTAAAATGTGAATAGGAAATGCAAAGTGTATACTTTTACTGATGAGTTATTGTCTTCAGATGTGCATTCAAAATGTACCTTCAATACTGAACAACACTTAAAATTAAAACCTCATAACTACATGTTGTTAGTGTGAACGTGACTTTGTTGTAAAACTGAGTATATGGACAGGATGTGTATCTTATTAACTGAACTCAATCAAAGGTATATTTTTCTAAAATCTCATATGCTTTGGCAAAACATAGTAATTTCATCGTTGCTCTTTCAGGCAAGTGTGAAAAAGACAAGTCAAAAAAACATGACACTTAAAAGATTTGCATCAGAATCTTAACTTTTCATATTTTGGAAAAAAGTTATATTATTAACAAAATCCGGTCGTGTTTCATCGTTTTGTATTATGAAATGTTTCTAAATGCGAAGGGTTTCAGCTGGTGCCGGTGCAGTTAATTGTAACTGCTATACTATTTGGTTGTTTATTATGCTTTATAACAATAGGCTATCATTTGGGTGGTAATTATTGGTTTTGAAAAATATATTCTGCAACAAAAATAACATTAAAACAATTACAGCTCTGGAAAAAAATAATTAACTTCAGTTTTGAAGGTTAAGTATACCATAGCATAACATGTAAATACTCAAGTACCTCACATTGTGTTATCAAGAGTACATTTTTAGTCAAACAGACATAAGCAGAGAGGTCGGTGCAAATCATTTGTTTCTGTCCACTTTATCTGTTGCTGAAGTCTGTGCAAGATATCTTAAGCAGCATTAGCTTCCCCAGAATGCGGTGAGAGGTTGTTCCAGCTTTCATTAGTGGACTTTAGTCGAACATCACGCTCATGTTTACCGAGCAAACTGGACTGTGGTCCCTTAACATCACAGCTTTTCAAAAAGTACATACAAATACGGTAAACAACTAAATGTTTCACCCAAATGTATAGCTCGGACAGTGTCTGTTGAGGTGACAATTTTACGTTTAAACGTATTCTTTGGATAAATAAGCGGCAGTTTAAATGTGTATGTTCCTGCTAATTGTTGCCAGAATTTAAAATGAATAACTGGACAAATCAGTGTAATCTAACTGAGACGCTCAAATGTAAGTTAGTGTTTGATTGTGGCAAATAAACAAATGAACCTTCACTGTAATTTACTCAACACACTTGTTTACTGCACTGTGCGCATGTAACAAATGATACAAACATAAGTTAAATCATATAAGGTGTGAAGAAACGGTGTCAGAGGAAAATGAAAGCATTTCATTAAAAGTAATATAATTGATAACAGAAGCAAAAAGATATTTAAACCGCTTCAGTTCAATTGATCATATCATCTCCTCCAACTATGTTATCAGAGGAACCTCTGTGTACTCCCCCCCTCCTCTGGCAGAGGGGCTTGTCTTTCTAGTGGAATACACAAAGGGACACCTTGTACCCTAATTCAGCATACATCAGAAAAATACGAACCTCCGACTGAGAGTGGATGGAGAGAAGAAAACATTTCAACAATATGTCTGTAGTTTACTTTTTTTGGATAGTGCTAGTGGGTTGTTTTACCTTGTGTCATGCAGCACCTACAATTGCGCCAACAGTTTCACCAGTGGAGGAAAACCTGGCAGAGGTAATTTCGTAATAGTATCCTCGGAACTAGGATCTGCCTGAAATAACCAGGGGATAACAGGGGAGCACTTTGCATTCAAAGAAACTGTAGTGGTTGCAGGTTGCATGTATTTACATTCAAATAGGCTCTGACATTTAAATGAAATGAAATATGAATGACTTGCAATAAAATCCTCTTCCTTCTCCTGGTATCAGGATTACATTTCTCGGTTCTACGCTGACATTGGGATGACAAACTCCACACTACGAAGAGCTGTTCGGAGCAATTTCAGTCAGGATCTACAGGCCATGCAGGCTTTCTTTGGCCTGGAGGTAATTACAATGAATGAAAGCTATGACTTCCTGTTATCCAAAATAAATATGACTGCTCACAATTGGCCAATGGTTTAATTTAGAAATGTCTGTATGGGATAATATATTTGTGTTTACTATTTCATACCACCATCCGTCTTTAGGTGACTGGAGTCATGAATAATGAGACTACGACTGTAATGAAGGAGCCCAGGTGTGGTGTGTCTGATATCAGCCGATATGGACACTTTAGTGGGAGACCCAAGTGGGAGAAGAGGCTGATTACATACAGGTAACTGGAAGTTATTTCGGAGGAGCTGCATGCTATTATTGTCAATACTTTAGTGACTGAATAGTTTTTGTGGAGGTTGACTATAATAATAAAGATGATGATTTGAACAGGATCACTCAATACACTCCAGATCTGACCCAGAGTCATGTGGATTCAACCATCGCACAGGCCTTCCAGCTGTACAGCGATGTCATCCCGCTCAACTTTAAGCAGGTCTACAGCGGTAATGCGGACATCATGATCCTTTTCAAGGGTGGATGTGAGTCTGAATTGAACAAGACATTCTTAAAACCGCAAGCTGATCACTATGTGAATCCTTTTATTTAGACTCACTAACACTTGATTAAATTATCTTCATTGTCCTATTTCAGATCACGGGGACTTTTACCCTTTTGACGGGGCGGGTGGAGTCTTGGCTCATGCTAACTCTCCTGGACGGGGTCAGGGAGGGGACACGCACTTTGATGATGATGAAACCTGGACTCTTAGCTCAAGAGGTAAATACAATACATGTTATGAAAGCTGAAGCTGAAAACAGTTTGGGGCTTGAGGATATCACCTTGCCAAACTGAATTTCTGGATTTATACTTACTTATAGAAGAGACATGATGAAATAAGTAAATCTACTGTATAGAAAATCGTCAAAATCTGATATATCTGACATTGTATTTTTCTGTGTTTAGGTGTGAATCTTCTGCTGGTGGCAGCCCATGAGTTTGGCCATGCACTTGGCCTGGATCACTCCAGGGACAGAAGGGCACTTATGTACCCCACCTATCGATATGTCAACACTAATCGGTACAGGCTGCCCGATGATGACAGGCGTGGGGTTCAAGCCCTATATGGTGAGCAAGGAAACTACATTATTGTCAGATTAAAATAAGATGAGAACATCTTTATAGCCTCTATTTAAAGATCAGTATTGCAAAACAAAAGCCAAGATGGATTTTTTTATTTGGGTTTTATCTGGGCTACATGACAGAATGTTCTTTTTAACCAGTAACCAATGGACCTATTAATAAATGGCTTGTGGTTTTGTTTGTAATTTTTCTAATTCCCGTTTCCATTAAATGAGGTTCAACGGCATGGGAATTAAACTGAATCCATTTTATATTCATTGTGGTTTGTATGCTTGACAAGCAGGCTGAACATGGGCCCAAGCCAACATGTTCCTAAAAGTGCTTTTCACTCTTATTCTTTCGAAAGTTGATTGCTTTAAGAAAACCCTAACCCTAATCCATCCCTCAGGCAGTCGTACGCCAGTGCCAACAACAGCACCGAAACCTAAACCGCCTCCTGGCCCGGACCCTGGACCAGAGCCAGAGGAACCAACAGAGGATCCAGAAGACCCTCTGCCCAACCCCAGAGATGAGCAGTGCAGCCGAGAGCTGGTGTTTGACGCTGCTACCTCTATCAGGGGAGACCTCTTCTTCTTTAAAAATGGGTACATTTTTTAAGATTTTATGATAATCCTTTTTATGAGGGAGTTACATTAATACATTTCAATTTACAATCCTTACTAGATACTATTGGAGGAAGAGTACAACTATCAGTGGAATCCGTTTAACGAAAGTGAGCACAAAATGGTCACAAATCAAATCTGTTGATGCTGCATTTGAAGTCCCAAACAAGGATGTGGTGTGTCTTTTTGAAGGTAATTCAACGATTGTTAGGCCTGCATGTTAAATAACTCAATAAGTTCATTTAAGCTGTCTATGAAATAACATGAATAACCTATAACTGTTTCTCTACAGGTCGTCAATACTGGTGCATTAGGTCTTATGCAAAGACAATCATTTCAGGGTATCCAAAGCCTCTTACAAACCTTGGCCTGCCCTCTTCAGTCAGTAAGGTCGATGCAGCTGTCTATGTGCCAACTACTGGAAAAACATTCATATTTGTGAAAAACCTGTATTGGAGGTGAGTGTTGGTCATGACCAAATCCCAATGGTCGTTAGTAGCTGATTATATAAATGACTATAAACACAGATAAGTGAGATATGTATTGCGTATGGGTACAAACCCACACAGTTTTTGCTAAAGTCCCCCTGTTCTCCCTTGCAGTTATGATGAGAGAAGAAACCAAATGGACTTTGGATACCCACGATCAATAATTCTGGATTTTCCTGGCATAGGCTCCAAAGTTGATGCAGCCTTTGAGAATTATGGTGAGAAATGATATTCACTCAACCTCAACCTTCAATCACAATCTGTATTAATTTGACTGATTTGTTTGACTGTTTCACTTATTTACCTTCTTGCTGAGTGTGAGGAGAATACTGTTATCACTCTACATTGTCCAGGGTTACTATTGGATTTACAGTTATTATAATATTGATAAACATAGGAAGACATATGATAACCCATTCACCATTACAGTTTTATAAAGTGACAGTATAACACAATTTACACATTTTTGGTTAGGCCTACAGCTTTTATTGTTGGCCCAAACTAATGAGTTACCACTGCCTTAAGTGCAACACTTCCATATAAACTAAATCTTCCTTTCCACAGGATATCTTTATTTCTCAGATGGCCCCCGGCAGACTGAATACATCCTGTCCAACAAGAGAGTTATACGTGTACTGCTCAACTACGGCTGGCTCAACTGTTACTGAGAACTCACAGACAACAGATCAATGTCTAAGATGTGCTTGCTGCCAGCATATTATGAACAAATAAATGACCTGAATAACAATATTTTACATTTTTATGAAGTGGGGAATCATTTTTGGGGAAATGTAACTATTGCTTGGTTTATGCAAAGAGAAAGGATCTTACTGAGTGGATATTAATAAGGAATGTAATGACAGGGAATTGTTAGACATGTTTATTTATTTCAGTAATGCGTAATTGTGACATTTTGGGTGTAAAATATGTGGTTTAACCCTCCTGTTGTCTTCGGGTCAAATCTGACCGATTTACTACTTTCATCAATCATAACCTTTTTTGTTTTACATTCGATTGCATTAAGGCTTTATGATATCCTTCACATTAGACATTTGAACATATACAATTGCTGATCACCACTTTCATTGAATTTTGGATGATTTAGTCAACTTTGTAACACCCGGTCAAAAATGACCGCCATAAAGAAAAGGAATTAGTAACCATCCGGATCAGATAAAACACACACACACACACCCACACACACGCATGCTCTAGATGTGTCCCCCTCCCCCTTATGTGCCCATCCCCCCACAT